ATTTTAATATAAAATAAAATTTACAGATTTTACAATTTATTAGTTAATTTAATTTAGTTTTATGTCTTTTTATTAATTAATTTTTAATATTTTTGTTAATATATAGAATAAAAATTAATATTTATAATAATACTAATAAAAATATAATATAATACCATATAATTTAAAAAGAATAAAGGGATAAACACCCAGTGAGGGCGTATCTGCTAAAAAAAAAAAACTTTATATACACCTTTTACTAATTCTAGAAAACTAGGCGCTGCTCTGCATAATTCGGTCGACACGGTCTGAAAACTGTGCATGCATTTATTAAAAGTGTGACCTTCATAGAGCCAATCAAGTTTACTCTTTACATAATGCAGGGGTGGAACCATAACTTTGCCTTCTAAAAACATAGACAAAAACACCAAGAAGAGCCAAATTATCTAATTAATTAAATTATATTTTAGTGCTTATATAAGAAAATTTTCCGTTTCCAGAGCGAGCAACTGCCCCTCATAAACATAATCTTATTTTGCCCTTGCTCACATGATAACAACAAACACATACAAATAATAATCCCCCTAAACAAATAATAGGATGCAATGTGAGCTTTAAATCATATAACAAAAGATCAATATAATTCGGCAGCTAAAGCATCAAAAGATAAAAGTACATGTTTTTCTTGAAATGAAAAGTACATGTTTTTCAGGGAAGAGTGACAACGGTTAACTAATGGGCAGACAAACTGAGTAAATCTCCACACCCATTCAGAACGTCACCCAGATCTACAAAATAAAAACATATAATATAAGATAACCTCATTGGAATAATGTTTGGCTGGCTTTTAACTATATAAGTCATCGTCATCTCCAGCTGCACCGGAAGCTGCAAATGGGTCGGATCCTGCCCCAGCGGCTGCATCAGAATGATCTGCGAAGCGGAACTCACTCCCGAATCCCCTCGACTGCTGCAGAGTCTGGGCAAACGCTTGGTACTTGCGTATGTCAGCATCACTTACACTCCTGCGAGCATACTTCATCGACTCTTCAAAGTGAACAGCTTTGATCTCGGCAACTTCATCACCTTCATCTTCCTCCATGGCTTCGGGGTTCTCCCGGGCTCTCCTCTCCCTTTCAATGTCCTAAGAGAAGACAACAAAACCTTAAGCAACACCAAGCCTTTAAAAGCTGAAGAAGCAAACAGGCACAATCACAGGTTAAAAAGAACCTTTTTTTAGGGATATTTTACATATGTAGCACACAATTCTTATGTAATTACATCTCTCACACCTAAACTTTCATATTTATATATATAGGAATTTCGTGCTTCAAATCTATGCATAAAAATGTGCATTTCACTTCTTAAATGTGGTCGAGAGCATATGAATGCTAACTACAACGACCTTATTGTTCAAATAAATGTGGAGACTAAATGAAAAGTATGGGTTAAAAACCTTTTCAATATTTTCCCTGATGGCATATTTGACAGCACGCTGGCAAATCTCAGTAATGTCTGCACCACTGAAACCTTGAGTATACTTAGCAAGAGCCCATAGGTCAACATCTTTTGATACAGGGGACTTCCTTAGACAAGCTTTAAAAATTTGGTGACGAGAAGCCTCATCTGGAAGAGGAATATAAATTAACTGATCAAGACGCCCTGGCCTAAGCAACGCTGGATCTATGATGTCAGGTCTATTGGTAGCACCAATGATGAAGACAGTTTTCTTAGCCGACATTCCATCCATCTCTGTCAAAAGTTGATTCAGAACTCTATCAGCAGCACCTCCGGCATCACCAACACT